AAAAAACCCCTTTAAAAAAAAAAAAAAAAAAAAAAAAAAAAAAAAAAAACAAACCATTTTCTTTGCTCTATTCTATACGTATCTTACAAAGAACGGAATTAAGAAATCTGCTATACTGAAATGTCATGAACTTTTGGATAGTTTAATCCTTCTTTTAATCTCCTTATCCAATTCTTCCATTCCTCCAACAACCTCCACTTCCTGCATGAATATTTTAACACATAGAGTCACATTTTTCTCAAAAAACCTAACATCATTTTCCTCATTTTCTAACTAGAAAAGGACATTGATGTTATATAATAAATGGAATTAAGTAGACTTGAGCGGGAAGAAAATATATTGAATTAGGTAGACTTTTACCTTTGGCCCCAAGAACAACCCATATGGCACTCCTTGAAATTTGTCCGAGTGATGTAGCTAAGTATTGAAAATTAAAGGATTATGAGAACTTGATTAAAAATGTAATTTGTAGAACATATTATAATAATAGCAAAAAGACAGGTTAACACGATTGTTCATCTTTCAGTGTTTGATCGTCATAGGTCACATAATCAAATCTGCGTGAATTCTTGATCAAATGGGAAAAAAAAATGTGATAAATTTCTTTAGAAAAACTTAGTTGTAAAATGGTTACAAGATTAATTCAAAAAGAACAAACTTACTTGGTGGGCTGCAGCAACTTTTCTTAAATAAGGAACATTTGCAATAGGGCCAACTGGAAAACGACGGTGGACGAGTCCGTCATGGACAAACATATAGGCCATTCCAAACATTGTGATTCCTAATCCCTGCAGTGCCAAAATAACTCCACACGATCAATGAAGAAACACATGGGATAATTTGCGTCTCAAAGTAAACCCTTTCTCTCTCTAACAAACATATATTATACTCAATTCCAACGTGTGTGATGATAATGACACATTTTTCACATGAATTTATACTTTATACTTACAGCGCCAAAACAGAGACCTGCGAGAAGGTCGGGATTAAAAAAACCGTAAGACATAAGTGCGATGGCGGGCACGGCGTTCATAATGGCGAACACATCATTAAGTTCAAAGGGACCATCTCTAGGCCGGTGGTGGGACTGCAAAATGCCAAAACATTAGTTTAAATCGCATGCCAAATGAGATTCAAATACCAAATTATTATGTATTAAGCGTGGAATTGAACTTCAAAGCCGCCAAGAAATGCAGTCAAAATTCCAATGTAATTTCTACCTCGTGCATGTACCACAACGAAGCGTGCCAAAGCGCTTTGTGGGCCCACCTTGCCCAGAATTCCATCCCCACCTGGAAAGTCCATGTTTAAATTACGAGGATTAGATTATGAAGACTTTAATCATTGATTAATAATTATCTTTATAATTTTATTTTAAGAAAAATTTCATATTAGTACGTACCATATGTTATAGCGTAATTATTTTTTAGTATCTTATGTTTTTAGTAATTTTAAATTGATAT